TCTACTGCTCCATCTTGGCCGCCGTGGTGGTTGGGCTCCTGGCCTACGTGGGGTTCAAATGGTGAGTCTCTACGGGATGGGGAGGGGTCTCCGGGGGGGGGGGAATAGAGGGGGGGTGTCCCCGAATCACCATCTCCCTCCTGCTCTTCCTCTTCCTCCTCCGCTGCAGCTGGACAACCTGCAAGCAGAAGCAGCAGCTGGCCAAAGCCCGGATGGGGGGGGAGTCGTCCTCGTCCCCCGAAGGGGAGAAACTTCACGGAGACAGCGGGGTCTTCCTGGACACCCACAGCCTCCAGGAGCATCACCCGCTGAACAAGGGTAAGGTTGCTACACACGCACACACACAGACACACACACACAGACACACACAGACAGACACACACAGATACGCAGACACACACAGGCACACCCACCCACCCACAGATACACACATACACCTGCACACATCTACACACACACACTCAACACACAGATACACAGACACACACCTACACACACACCTACACACACACACTCTGACACCCACAGATACACAGATAGACACACAGATACACACACTCACACACAGATACAGACACATACCTACACACACACACCTATACACACTCTCACACACACAGAGATACACAGACACACAGATACACACACTCACACAGATACACAGACAGACACCTACACACACACACACAGATACATACCTACACACACACCTATACACACTCTCACACACACACAGATACACAGATAGACACACAGATACACACACTCACACAGATACACAGACACCTACACACACACAGATATAGACACATACCTACACACACACCTATACACACACACTCTCTCACACAGACATACACAGATAGACACACAGATACACACTCTCACACACAGATACACACACACTCACAAACATAGATACACACACATACACCTACACACACACACACACACTCACACAGAGGTTAGGGGAACACTTCAGGGGTGAAATGCTACCAGTTCTGACCGGTTTGCTTTAAAAAGCTTTAAAAAGTGGGGAGGGGAGTTTCCATGACAACCAGCTACCCCCCCCCCCACTACTTTTTAAAGCATTTTTTTCCTGCCGGTTCGGGTGAATAGGTAATAAAACGAAATGCTTTTAAAAGTGGGGGAAAAAACACCATCACACAGAATAGCTGATTGTCATGGAAACTTCCCCCCCCCCCACTTTTTAAAGCATTTTTTTTACTATCTATTCGAAGGAACCAGCAGGAAAAAAAATGCTTTAAAAAGTGAAAAAAAGGCCATATGCCCACAGAACCGGTGGCAAAAAAAAAAAAACCAGATTTCACCCCTGGGACACTTTCTCTAGTTGAACCAAGCAGGAGTTTGATGGGGAATTCTTCGGAGGTGACACTTTGGCCTCCTTGTTTAAAATTTCAGATATTGATCAGGCTAATCCGGCCCTTCCCTCTCTCAAGGGAAGAAGAAATGAAATTAGGGGGAGGGAAAAGGAGGGGGGNATCCTGCCTGAGCAGGGGGTTGGACTAGAAGACCTCCAAATTCCCTTCTGACTCTGCTACTCTTTTATTTGGAGGAGGAGGAGAGGAGGAGGAGGAGGAGAGAAGGAAAAGGAGGAGGAAGAGAGAAAGAGAAGGAAAAAGAGGAAGAGGGGGAGGAGAGGAGGAAGGTGGGAAGAGAAGGAAAAGGAGAAGGAGGAAGGGGGGAAGAGAAGGAAAAGGCGGAGGAGGAAGAGAGAAGGAAAAAGAGGAAGAGGGGGAGGAAAAGGAGGAGGAGGAGGAGGAAGAGGAGGAAAAGGAGGAGAAAAGGCTCTCCTGTCTGAGCGGGGGGGGTTGGACTAGAAGACCTCCAAGGTCCCCTTCAACTCTGTGATTCTTGTTAATTCAGTGCCCAGATCTCTACGGGATCTGATTCCAGCAGCGAGGGAATCTTGCAATCCGGGCAATGCAGAATTCTGCTTCCCGGCTGGCTGCTAAGCACATTCCTGAAGATTTGGGGGCTTCCATCCCAGCTAGGAACTCGCCAGTGTCTCTCTGCGCAGAGACAGATGTGTGCCAGATGTGCGGGAGGGCATGAGGGGGGGTTTAGGAAAAATGATGAATTCATGATGTTTTTCTTCCTTTCCACCATCTAGCCTGGTTTTTGCAAACGTGTATTGGTGTGTGTGTGTTGTATGTGTGTGTTGGTGTGGTGTGTGTGTGTGTTGATCCTCCCTTTGGTCTTTTGAGTTTGGAGAAATAATTTGGGATGTGTGTTTTTTGCTTCTACACGGAGTCCTCGACTTATAACCATTCAAAGTTGCAACGGTACTGAGAAAAAGGGACTTAGGACCATGTGTTTTTTTTCTCCACACAACTGTGGCCGCCTCCCCAGGGTCACCTGATCAGCTTTCAGAAGCTTAGCAAACTGACTCGTATTTATGACGGTGGCACTATCCTTGGGGTCGTGATCCTGTTGTTGTTTTTTTTGCAACCTTCCGACACGCTCTCCATGGAGAAGCCAGATTTCCCTTAGCAGCTGGGTTATTCACTTAACAACTGCAGTGATTCACTTAACAACTGTGGCAAGAGAGGTCGTAAAATGTAGCAAAACTCACTTGACAACTGCCTCACTGAGCAACGGAATTTTTGGGGGCTCCCTCATTGTGGACGTACTTCAGGTTTTTTTCAGTTTCGAATTATTCCCAAATAATTTGCAGGGAAGAGTTATTTTTTTCCACTTCTTCAGCTCTCTCTCTCTCTCTCTCTCACACACACACACACA